AATAGAACACAAAGGTCCATGCCACTTTTCCCTATATGTCTCAATATGATCGCTAAACATTTTACCCTAATCCCTAAACCCTAAACCCTAAAACCCTGAAACCCCAAAACCCTAAAACCCTAAACCCTTTAAAAACCCTACATATTCAACGCGCGGGCCTGCCCAGGTTGGATAACACTGCTGCCAGGCATCCACCTCGCCTTGGTCACAATCACAACGCAAGGCTAGGTTGGCCCGTAAAACCCCTTGAAAAATGTTAGTATATATGGTCCCTATTAAAGCCATTAGGGAAAATATTAAATGTCCCAAGGGCCTACCCAGAAGGGGGAAGTTTAGGATTTACGGTTTAGAGTTTATGGTTAGGGCCTAGGATAAATCTCCCAACCTTGTACAGGCGTTGTATGAGGATGTTACCCCAATGATGGAGAACCAAGTGGAAGAGAAAATGGAAAGAAGAGGGTTTTCCGAAACTAGGAATGCTTTTTTGGAGTCCCAGAATAAGGAAACATTTTACGGTTCATGTTAGGGTCCCTTGTTTATGAAACCACCAAGAACCAGCAAAAAGCTTGAACCCTGCGACGGAGTGGACTTTGACATGTTTAAGTAAGTTATTAGTAGAAGGAGCGGGTGCATTCATCCAGCGCTTGGTGTTGTTCCTAAATCCGCCACATTTCAGGTTGACATTGGGTTGTTGCCGGGCGTCGCATGCCGCTTTTGAGATCCGCATAGAGACTTGTCACCGCCTTGGTAGCTGCTACCCGCAAAACATTACAGTTCAGGGTCAAGGGTGTAGGGCTTAGGATCCAGCATATTACCGCTATGTAACCCTATATAATATCGTAGTTTCCATTTTCTTTTCCATTATCCCTATATACCCCCAGGCTTTACAGCAGGGAACACTGCCGACCAGGGGCAGATTCGGATATGGACTCAATGGGCCCATACAGCAAGGGCACACGCAGTACGGCTGCATGTGGGCAAGCAGCTTGCGCCAGCTGCTCACTGTGAAGCTTGTGCCAGCCTTAGCCAGTCTAAACTTCTAGTATCCCAGTTAATAACATAACCCCTGTAGTTCCTTATATAATTCCCTATATAACCCCCCTTTAAGGAGTTTAGACTATAGCTCATCTGAGAACCCTGAATCTGGCTACCAAGAAGTACAGAAGCAGGGTTAATAACAATAAGAAGAAGAATGACAATAGAAACAATAGCAACAATGGTAGCGGTAACAATACTACATAGTTATTAATAACCCATATATCACCCCAATATACTATAGTAGTTTCCATTTTATTCTCCATTATCCCAATATAACCCCTACATATTGTAGTAGTTTCCATTTTTCCATTATCCCTATATATCAACAAAGGCAACAGAAACAATACTACTTTCAATGGTAACCATAGTAATTCTTCTGTGCTTGCTTCATGTTGCAGGCTGCAGGGACCATACTCGCTGAGCGGGTTGGTCTTGGAGGCGGTCGTGTACGGAGGCGAGCTGCCATCAAAAACGCAGTCGGCGCTGAGATGCACCTGAAACAAATCCAGTACTTTATAAGGGTTTAGGGTTTAGGGATCTAGTACTTTATGAGTATGGTCTGGTATATTACAGTACATTGTATTTCAAAGACATTCATGACAAAACAATGTCACATGACATAATCTGGTATGTTTCAGTACAGTATAGTACATACAGTAGAGTATCGTATCACATAAATTCCCTTAACCCTAAACCTTCAGGCCCAAAACTTGACCAGTGCAACTTGAAGCACAAGCCAAGCCCCAAAGCGCTCGCAAGCTGCAGCTACAAAGCCTGCAGCGAAAAAGGGCGCCAGCACGGTTTTATCTAATCATTAATTTTCATCACTATTATTGTTAATATTCTTATAATTATTATTCAATAATATTACTTCTATTCTTATTATTATTGTTATTATTCAATTAATATTACCTTTATTCTTATTATTATTATTCAATTAATGTTACTTTTATTCTTATTATTATCATTATTCAATTAATATTCCTTGTATTCTTATTGGTATTATCCATGGATGCGAGGCCAACTCCCAGGCCTGTTGCATCCACATTGAGCTGCCTAGCCTGCTCCGGGCACTGCCGGAGCACTTCCTGGGTTGCTGTTAAGGAACTTAACTTAAGTTACTAAATTGGGGGAACCATATTCATAACTATATATGGGGGATTGTCAAAATTATGGTTTTTTTTGGGTCCCCTAAATTAGGCCCCGTATTAGGCCCTGTATTATAATGGGGACCCAAAAAGGGACCATAATTTTGACAATCCCCAATATATACCCATTATGGTAACTTAATTCACCCGGCTTCTGGCCGCCATTCGGCTGCCAAATGAAGTACGACATGTGGACGGAAGCGCTCCATCAGCTTGTCAATTGCCTCAAACGAATCTGTAGGGGTTTGGGGTTTAGGGGTTTAGGGATTTAGGGGTTTAGGGTTTAGGGTTTAGGGGTTTAGGGTTTAGGGATCCTTCCCTCTGATGTAGGCCCATGATGAATAAACCCCCTCCTTTTAAGGGCCTTAATGTCAGGATCCCTATTATCATCCCTTCTAAGGGGAGGGGGTTGATGAATTAGGGGTCTACATTAGCATGATAACCTCCCGTCCCCGTGATCATGAATACTGCGAAAACGGTAACAAGAGTCCCGGGCAGGTGAGATGTACAATGTCAGATCCTACCTCTTTAGTAGGGGGCAGGCAGACGTCTGCTTCTGCTACAACAAGAGAATGGAAAAGAAAATGGAAACTACTATAATATGTGGGGTAATATTGGGATAATGGAGAAGAAAATGGAAATTACATGAAATTACTATATTAGGACATATATGTACATATATATAAAGGGTTATATAGAGCTCGATCCCTCCATGTCTAAGCACCGGGCACCTTCTCTGGTGAGGTCCTCAGAATGCCACCCTCACACTTCTCCGCTTGTCAATGTGTCATCACTGTATTACACAAACGCACCGAGGAAAATCAAGCCGTGCATGGCATGAGAACGGGCGCTGCACACATTTCACTTGAGGTCATTTGTGCAGTTCAAATTCCCTCAACATCAAATGAGCTTGACGCATGGGAAAAAACAGGTGCGCCAACCCAAGTACCAGTGCCGCATGTCATTTCTGTTTTGGTCACGGTTTCCGTCTGTTTCGGCTTGTGGTCCTTCTGCGTGCATGCCAACATGCTTGTACAAATGGCTCGCCCTGTTCACAATCGTGCAAAGCGCACATGCTTCGGGAGGTCTGTGCCTGTCCAAGTTTCCTCTAGGTTACCATAGCACTAGGTCACAGCCACAGGACGCCGACTTTGAAACTCCCCAAATGCGGTCTAAGACACGCAGGCAGTCACATTCGGCGGTTTTACTCGACGTTTGCAGACACCTTCCACCTGCCAAAGCTTCTGAGTAAAATTTGTTCGGTGGCTGGGCCAAGTAAGATCACATTCTGCATATAGAATACCATGCCCAGTATATAATGTCTCAATCTATATTGGATACCAAAGTATCCCCAAATCAAACTCTACTCATCTCAAGGCTTGGCCTGGTATGCGTTGAAGGCCTGCATGACTTGCCGCCCCAGCATACCACTCGCACCAGTAACGAGGATCCGGACATCTGACCTGTCACTTGCTTCAGGACGTGACTTCGCATGAGGCATAGTCTAAAGTGGCCCTAAACCCTGAACCCTAAACCCTTAATAACCCCTAAAATAGTCCCCCATATATCCTCCCTTCATGGAATTAAACCCTGGACCCTAAACCCTAAATCCCATGTAGTCCCCTGTAAAACCCCCCTGCTAAGGAGCTTATAGAAAATGATGTTGACACCAGATTAATAAACCCCCCTCCACTTAATAGGGATTATAACAGAGATCCTAATACTTAGGCCCTTGAAAAGAGGCGGGCTTATTCGTCATGGGTCTGCAACCCTAAACCCTAAACCGCAAATAGTTTCCATTTCATTACCCGTTACGTATCCCAATATAACCCCAATATGACCCTAATATTACCCCAATATAATCCCAACGTATTAATCATGGGTCTGCATTAGCTCACATGGCGGGAGGTTCCATCTGGTTCCTGCCTCGAGGGAAAGCATCGAAGCTTCGGTGTGGACCCAGTTGTGCCGCGTTGCAAGCCTTCAATTTAAGGCGTAACACAGGGATAGTGGAAAGAAAATGGAAACTACTATCATATGTTGGGGTTATATTGGGATAATGGAAAACATATGGAAATTATTATCTTAGGATATATATTCGGGTTATATAGACTGTACATGCTACAGCTTTGAGACCTCATCAAGATTCATAGAGTATGCCGCCTTCCGCGGGCATGTTGTCAACAGTCTTGTCTACATCTGCCCGTGTGGCGCGATCCGGCTGCAAGTGCCTTTGCATGATGTGTGCGACAGCAGAGTCGACTGCAAGTCTTTTAGCCAGCAGTTAGGTTTTGCTCATTATAGGGTATAATTGGGGTTATATAGGGATAATGGAAAAGAAAATGGAAACTACTCTAGCATATTGGGGATAATGGAAAAGAAAATGAAAACTACTCTAGCATGTTGGGGTTACATAGGGATAATGGAAAAGACCATGGAAACTACTGTAGTATATTGGGGCTACATAGGGATTGCGAGCTGCCCAGGACAACTATGC